TGAAGATTCGACATTCTTCATAAAAAAGCCCGGGGTAGGTGCAATGTGACGGCCTATCCGGGTTATCGATCCGTTCCTCACCGCCGGGCTGGGGCCCGGCCATCACAACAACAAGAAGGAGCAATGAGTATCGGCCGCCCCCCTAACCACTTCCCCGCCTTTATAGGTGTTGTCCGGCTCGGGGCAAGACCCTCGGTGCCCGCTGCGGCACGGGGGGTTCGGATTCAGGCCCCTGTTTTTGTTGTTGTCGATGCTACCCCTGGCGGCTACGAGTAGGTACAACGACGTGCCTCATCTAATAAGACCGAAGACAATTGCTTTAGGTTATTGTGAGGCATCTAGCACCTGGCCTTGAGATTTCGGATTACGGATGAACTTCATAAATCTCAACTAGAAGCCGCCAAGCGGTGTCTAGCCAACTTGCTGGAGTTGTCTAATCGGTTCCATGCACACTACACACTTCTTATCGCCGCCCCCTGCCTCTCATTTCGGTATGTAGGCATTTAAGGATATCGTGGCAGTAAGGTCTAGATACCTACCTGCCGGGCGGCTGGCGGTGCTTTGCCTTCGCGATGGATAGGAACTGTAGCTTGATGCTTTATGTACAAAATATCTGGAGTATTATGTACACCAGAAGATTTTTATTCCTAGGAGTCTATCGAGAAACATAATGGTTCTCGTCACCACAGCGTAGCGACTAATTTGGTGTTGTCTCTATTTACTAAACCGGTATTCTCTTTCCTCTGATATTCCCGCAATGGCCTTGAGGGCCGAAAACTTGTAGTCGACCGGTTCTAGGTGTGGTTTTTCAGACCGTCCACGCCGAGGAGTTTATAAGTATTAGGAATAGGGCTAACGGCTCCGAATGCTGACACGGACATTAACCATATCAATACGTCAGACACGGAATTGTCGGTGTGTACTGTGTCAGACGGCTGCGACAGCATTACGTGTGTCATCAACTTCTCCCGCAATGACAACACACGGCAGGCCGATCGCGAGATTTTTACGGAGGTCATCTAGCCACCGTATCACTCGGACATGAGAGCCTTCTTTCTATCTAACTCATGACCTCATCAGACAGATCATAAAGGCAGTGCTGAGCATGGCGTTGTGTTGACAGACGTCGAACCAATTACTTCGAAGAACGGCTTATCAAACGAGTTGAAGTATGAGTGTATCAATAGGGAGTAAAGATCGCCACTGTAAAATTAGGCGTGGAATTGAGTGGGATAGGGACGTCGAGACATACCTTATGTGCGCCATCTACTTAACATGGGGGGCATCGTTTGTATCGATCCCCTATCTCGCACCTCTTTCAAAACATATACCTCTGGGTTTTCAACATCGGAGGGTGCTAAAACAGTAGCCGGGCCATGGCATGGCCTTGGTGGTTTTGTAAAAAGTCCGTGGCGATACAAGGTCGTTAATCTCGTGATCAACAAGCGTAACACCATGATTTTATTTATTGTAAAAATCATCCGATTTTGACAAACGGCTGAGTGTGCTAAGAATAGGATGGCTGCGATGGCGGGCAGGAATATGGGTATTCTGGTTGGGTTGTTCATTGGGCGAACAGCAATTTCAAGCCGATCAATATGTTTCACGCCATGTCTACGCAGTAAATCGCATAAGACCTCAGAATGATAATTATGCTGCCTGGAATCCTTCGGATGGATCGTGATTCGCAGGTATCCGGTTCCAGGGGTATTCTTGTCTGTAGCTCCTTAGACGAAGTCTTGGCCCTTCCATCCCCCAAAAGGTACTAGTACAGGCCGGCAGCGCCAACGTCCACGGCTTACACCGCATACTACCTCTAGTGTAGACGTCTCTAGCCGACCTGCACAGCCTTCTGTATGGCATCAGGGTAAGTCCTGAGTAACGAAGATCGCCCCCCAGTTAGGCAATATCTGAACAGATTTGTCTTGGCTGCGTGTAAAGGCCATGGCCAAGATAATGTGCTGAGCACTGCGGTAAGCACGTTACGTCGTGATCATCAAGAGCCGACGAGGTCAGATAGGACTCGATGATCTCAGACTATTGGCAAATTGTCGAGTAGGTAGATGCATAAATATAGAGCAAGATGCCCTCAAACAGCCAGCTTCTTTTCCTTCCATCTGCATTCTATTCTAGCTCTCGCTTTTCTTTCTCGTCACTGGTGTTTGTTTTCCATTGAAGGTTTTCATTTCTCCAGGGCATCATGTCGCCTCTTTCATTCCCTTATTCCTTTCAAGCCGCTACTCTCCTCGTAGCGGCGGCTAATGGTGCGCGGATTGGAGTGCGCGATCATCAGACGAGCGGCATTCAATGGCAACCGTGCCCAAGTGACATCGACGCCGTGGCCGCTCTACCTGTTGATTGTGGCACCCTTACCGTGCCGCTCGACTACACGATAGTCAACAACGAGACGCTCGATTTGTCTCTCGTGAGAGTGCCTGCTGCGAAGCAACCTGCTAAGCACAGCATCCTTTTCAATTTCGGAGGGCCGGGACTCGAGGTCCGTCATACGCTCGCGGAGCTAGCTGACATGTTGCAAGCGTAAGTCCCTCCCGTTTAGAACCGTTTTGCGAGAGTATAGACCGGTCCCCTTTCTACTTTACGAACTAACACCGCGGCATAGCGTTACTGGCGGCGAGCATGACCTTATCGGCTGGGACCCGCGTGGTGTGGCCGAAACACTCCCATTCTCATGCTTCGCCAACGAGACGGACCGCTCTGCCGTCACCTCGCGGCTCGGCCTCGGCAATGCTTCGGACACCGGGCGCGGCACGACATGGGCGGCCGGAAAGAACTACGCAGATGCATGTGCAGGCTACCCGGAAGCTCGGGAGAGAGGCCCTCTGATTGGCACCACCTCCACGGCTCACGATGCCATGTCGATAGTTGATGCAGTGGAGAAGGACGGGTTGCTGAGATACTGGGGTAAGCACGCCTCTGCTCCAGATGAAGCAGCTTGGCAGCACCAGGCAACTGACGCGCCGGACGGCTCATAGGTTTGTCGTACGGCACCGATTTAGGGGCTATATTGGCAGGTTTGTTCCCGGACCGCATTGACAAACTCGTACTTGGTAAGTTCCGTGGAGTCCCAGGCCGGGAGCGAGAGTTGCTGATTCTTTGTTGCGTGGCAGATGGCGTCTTGAACCCGATCGAATACTTCAACGGGAAGTAAGTTTGTCTATCGCTTATGCCTTGAACACCCCGACCAATATCGCGGCGGCGGTGAATGCAGTGAATGGCTCGCCGTTAACATTGTTGCAGAGGCGACTTTCAGCAGTATGCGTCCGTCGATAATACTTTCCTTGAGTTCTTCCGCGAGTGCATCTCGGCCCCCGAGGCCTGTACTTTGGCACGGAGTCATCCCAACACCACGGCTGAGCAGTTCGTGTCAGCTACATACGACCTTCTTGAGGAACTCAAGTACCGGCCAGTCGGTTACCAGGGCACCGTCCTAGGCTATACAGAATTGAAGAGCGTGATACGTTTTGCTTTATACACCCCCGTTACCTGGCTGGAACTTGATCCAGTCTTGGGTGCATTCTTCGCAGAGCCGCGCAACGATACGGTCGCAGCCGCCGCCTTGTTTAAAGCTGCGAACGCCGCCCTTGGTGAATTTGCAGTCCCTAATAACGATGCGCCCATCGGTATCGAGTGTGTTGATAGTATGTTATCCACCCCCCTTTTTTTTGGGTGCTTCCGAGTCCCGGCGAAGATGCCATATGGATGCTGTAGCAGGCACCCGAGATTCCGCACAAATGAGTCGAGGCTTTCATCCCATTGAAAAGGAAACCCTACTAACACGTTGCCTTATAGAATGGCACCGGGATAGCTCGTATGATAACTACAATGAAATTCTCGACCAACTCCAGTCAGTGAGCCGCTTGCTAGGCGATGTCCAAGCGACAGTTCCGGCAACATGCGAGCAGTGGAAGGTGGAGCCGCATGAGCGATACATCGGCAAATTCGGAGACATCAAGCCCAAGAACCCTCTCCTCGTGATCGGAACCACGTACGACCCGGCCACATCGATCCTGTCGGCCAAGAACATCAGCGAGACCATCAAGGGCAGCGGTTTCCTTGAGCACGACGGTGCCGGCGTATGTCAATTCCCTATTCCCATTCTGTCTTCTCCCGATTGCCAAGCCAAGACACTGACCGAGTCGACTTGCGTCGAAACAGCACACCAGCATCCAGCAGCCTTCCCTCTGCACGGCCAGAGCTCTGCAGAACTACTTCCGCAACGGCACTCTACCAGCCCCTAACACCGTATGTGAGCCTGTCCAGAAAAACGCTTTCCGATCTGCTGCCGACGGCCCGAGATGGCAAAACCTGTTCCCGCAGCTCGGGTTCAACCCCAACGGCACGGAGGCTGCCCATGTGCACCGACGTGATACTGTCGAGGACCGCACCACTAACTTGGGCCGCCGTCAAGCCGCGGTGCGTGGATAGACGGAGGCGGAGGTCGTACTTGGGTGCTCTCTGGGCCGTGGTGATTGCATGACGCGGAAGGGAAATGCAATGCTCAGCTAGCCGTTCGCTCTCGCATCTTATTGCGAGGCACTTGGTAGCTTGCCGCATACATCCAAATTGTATGTAGGCTCCGTTCGTCACTTCGCTTGCGGCTTTTATTCTGGCGCATAAGATTCCCATGCGCGAGGTGTAAATAGTTGGTTTAGCAGCTTTCTCTTCTCTTCTTCCCCTCGAGATAAATATATGTAATAAGTCTTGGTATTGCAACCGTCCCCATCTTCGTCTCTCGTCGCGTTGTCTCGATTGAGTGCGGCCGAATAACTACCGCACAGCACATCGGTAGAGGTCCGACACGTTATTCACGACGGGTGGGTTTAAGTGTTAAGGCTCGCAACGGAATCAGCTTACCTTGCTCGTAGTTCCTTTCGCTTATTATCTAGATCGCCATTCCCTCGTCGAAAGTACTTCGTTTCCCTCCCTGTCCCTTCGTGAATCGTTTCAGCGCCGGGTTCCCACCATCTCGAGTCCTCATTGCCCTGGTAGCTCAATTGGCTAGAGCGTCGGACTTTTATCGTTCTGCGTGAACGAGTGATCCGAAGGCTGCGGGTTCGACCCCCGCCTGGGGCGGGCGATTGGCGAAATGGTCTTGTCAAAGCTAGCTAGCTCAGTGGAAGAGCGCCGGGCTCATAACCCGGAGGTCGATTGATCGAAACAATCGCTAGCTAATTAATTGCTAATTTTCAATTCTCTAATTTTGCCCTTGTTTTCAAGGGTTTTTTGGTCGAGGTTTTTTAGGGCCTTTTTTTTTCCGAGTTGGTTTTTTTGGGCTGACCTTTTTAAGCTGGCTTTTCCCCGAGGTCTGGCTGCTGAAAAAAGAAGGTAATTGATATAGCAAATTTTTCATTTAGTGCATATAATTCTTCGGCACCATATATGCATGCATATGCACTATCTAAAGATATGCATTAATTGTGGTTGCACTGGAAAATGCGTTGAAAACGTGCCGGAATGTGCCGGAAAACGTGTCGAAAAACGTGTCGAAAAACGCAACAGAAAACACGCCCGAAACGCGCCGAAAACGTGCTGAAGGCGCTGAGAAAGTACTTGCTGGGGTTATGTATAGGGGTTATGTACTAATATACAGTGATGCCTAAATTAGACCCAAAGTAGATAAGAGAGGTAGATGATGGAAGTATGCAGAAATGAATAGAGTTCTCTTGTCTTCATTACTGAGCTATTACTCATTTTATTTATTTATTTTATTATTAACCCGCTTTGACCGTCGCGGCCACGGTCCTTCTACATATATCTCTCGTGAGCTAAACCGTGTCAAAGCCAGATAAAACACCCACGCCGCCAAGTAAATAACCTTAGTAAATACATAGTTTCAACATATATAAAGGAAGTTATTGGCCAATTGAGCCGATGGAAGAAAAGAGAGAGAGAGAGAGGGGCCTACTGCAGGAGCCGTGCAAATAAAAGAGCACAAAGTTACCAGTTTGGCACACATCCTATGGTACAGTGGTCAAGCTACTGATAAAGCAGTTAAAAAGAAGCGAGGCGCATCAGTAGCAACGCAACAGGGACTCGAACATGGAGACCGACACCCAATAGGTATCAAGCAAAAATTGCATAGTGAGCTAACACTTGTCACAGAGACAGGGCAGTACCGTGCCTTTGTTGTATAAATGCCATGGCCCTTTGGGAAAAGGGGGAGGGCGAAGACAGCCAGCATCCTTACTGTATTGAAGCTCCAGGTAAGTCCCAAGTCATACTGCTTCTGAAGAGGTGAGCTGACATGCTCAACGCTGCCTAAGTGTGCGCGTTGTATAAAGGTCCAGAAGCCATGTGTAGCACTGACTGGGCAGCTACGAGCCAAAGGCCTGGAGCTAACCCGGCAGCTTTAAGAAAAGCAGGCCGAAGAGGTAAAGACTGACACCCTTTAAGAAGGCAATATACTAATACAAGATAGATAGTCAAGGTGACCCAGTTGGCTGTGAAGAAGCTGCTGCAGGCTTGTAAGAATGTAAGCAACCTGCCAGCCCACAAAATAATGACTTAGTCAGCTGAGGAGGCCGCAGACCAACGTGAACGAACAGCTGGGGCCTTAGAGCGCTCTGCCACTGCTGACAAACGGCTGGCAATGGTGGTGGCTAAGATAATGAAGGCTCAACAGAAGCAAAAAAAGGTTATGCGGCAGCAAGCAGATGCTGTGCAGCAGCTGGCCGCATCTGTACAGCAGCTAGCAGCAAGCGTGGAGGCACTTGCACAAAGCAAGAGGAAAGAGATTGAGCAGACGGGTGGTGATAGTGAGGACTATAGCGGTCCATTGGTACCATAGTGCCAAAATTCAATTCCGTAAATCTCCACTTGGCACATAGTGGGTGGTAGGTTTGTATGTAGGTACATTACTGCTGCTGTTGCCATCGCCATTGCCACCGTCGCCGGTAAGCATCTTGTTGTCGCTGGTAAGCACCTTGCTATCGCTAGCAGCACCTTGCTATCGTCGGTGACCTTGCTGTCGCCAAATACCAATATCTTGCGTAGCTCTTGATTGATTGATTGATTGCATTATTGACTACTTAGGGGGCGCTTGTGCCCCCTTCAATGACCTATCGGAGATCTATTTACAGTAATCGGGCAGCGTGAAGCCGGCCTGGTCATTAACAAAGGAAACAGAGAAACAAAAGAATATATATTTGTACAAAGGAAATTAGTCGCGTTGGGAGCCCGTGGCTAGCCGTGCTGCAGCCAGCTTCTAAAACTGCCCCGTCTTCCCTCCAGCAGCCTCCCGTCCAAGTAGAGCTAGCTCCACCTCTTTCTCTAGAATCTCGCGTGGGATCAAGTTGTCGAATTCGAGGCAACCCAGTATGTGCCCCTGCTCTCTCTCCTCACCACATAGGCACAGCCCGATACTTGTCTTCAGGTGCCCAAAATGCCTGTGGTAGGCAGTGAAGTTGCCATGGCCAGTGCGTTCCTGTATGAGTAGCGCCAGCTGCTGTCGCGGGAGTATGTGCTCCTTCGGTCATTTTGCGGGCCAATGTAAGCCCAGTTCTCGGTATCGGGGGTGGACGCTCTTTTGCCACCACTGATTGAGGTTTTGTCTGGCACGTAGCCTCACGTGGCGGCCAACCCAAGCCACTGAGGGGGGGTCGTACCTGCTGGGTGCTCTGGAATCCAGTTCGTGACAAGACAAAAGCCCGGCATGCTCATCAGCAGCGGTGTTGCCAGGGATCTCCATGTGGCCTGGGGACCAGTGTGCCCTGAAGCGTTCCAGTCCAATGAGCTGGATTAGCTCGCGACATCTTGCAAATCGAGCAGACGAGGAGTCGGGTGTGGCCCAGGCAAGGGCTGTGAGCACTAACGTGTTGTCCAAGCAGAAGTGCACTAGGCGGAACTCAGGGAGCTCTGGTAGGGCTGCAGCCCACTCCAGAGCTGCCAGTGCCCCTTGTGCTTTCGCATCGTAAACTTCTTCGCGATAGAGGGAGCCATTCTCCCTGTGCACAAGTCTGGTGCCAGTGTACGCCACAAAGGCCCAGGCAACCGACTTGTCCATTGAGCTGTCAGAGAACAGCACCAGCTCGTCTTCATTTCGCGTCGCAGCTCACTGTTTGACTACAGAGGCTGTCTGTTCCTTGTCAGAAGGTTGAGGCCAGATCCAAGGAGAGGGCTTGGGATACAGCTCTGGGTGCTCTGCTCGTTGTGCCAAGGGGTGCTTGGGGTCGAGGCGGGAGAGGCGCGCAGCACCGAGGAGGCGCTGTTTGTCGAGTATCACTGAGGCTGGCGGGAAGTTGGCCTCGCGGAGGATGGAGACAGTTGGCGTGGTACGCCAGCAGAGGACCACTGCCTGGGCTGCAGCGCGGCAGGCCCTATCAATCTTTTTTGTCAAGGATGAGTTGCCAGCACGTACCTGACGCTCTAGGTTGTGGCGGGACTCTCGGGTAGAGCCAGCATACTAACATAAAGAGCCGTAAGTTGCAATCAGAATCACTATGGCTTTGGCCACAGTGCTGAGATTACCGGAAGGTGCACCTTTGCTTACACCAAAAAGCCTACGGAGAAAGTTGGCAGCCGCAAGTGCCTTTCCTGCCCAGAAGTTTCTCTCTGAAGAGGCCACAGCCCAGACTGAGCAAACACCGACACGCATTGTCCAGTCACAGCACAACAACACCACCTGGATCGTTTCTTTCTCCCAGGAGGTCAAAAAATGCTTCAAGCTCTTTGGTTCACGCCCCTCCCCACCCATAGAAAAAAGCCTGAACGTCACCCAATGCGACAGGTGCTACGACTTCCACGACCCCCACGTGTGCACTCGCAAACAGATCTGCCGCCACTGTGGTCAGGGCCACATTACTGGCGCCTGCACCAGTGGTCCACACTGCGTGAACTGCCATGGCTTCCATACGGCAACCTTCATCGGGTGCCCGGCCGACCAAAGGTAATTAATGGCAAAATCGTCTGCCTCTCAAGAACACAGCGAATCAGTGAGTAATTCTTCCAGAATAATGCTTTAGTCCTGCGAATCAGTGAGCGATTTGCAGGACTAAGGCATTGTTCTGGAAGAAGAAGATCAATGAAGTGCAGGAACTGAAAGAGCTCTATAAGATTGCTGGCTGGCGCAAGCTCACTGACGCTTTCCGTGCCCCTCCACTGCGACACAATGGACGGACAATAGTAGCAAGCAATGACAAGATAGACCTTCTCGCAACCAACATTCTGGCTGCTCGAGCAGCTGGCGACGACATTGCTGACCCTCTTCCTTCCTGGCACGCAGCTCCCTCCCTGCCGTGGCAAGACATCGTCACTGCAGAGGAAGCCTTTGAGGCCACGTGCATGGTGAAGAAGACAGCTCCCGGCACTGACAAGATTGATGCCCTTCTTCTGAAGCGTGCCTGGCCAAGCATTGGCGCAGCGGTTACTAAGCTGTTCAGGTACTGTATCAAGAACGACTACCACCCCAAGGCATTTCGACATGCTGAGGTAGTTTTCCTGCCCAAGCCCAACAAACCCGACTACACGATTGTCAAGGCCTGGCGGCCCATTCCCCTTCTCTCTTGCCTTGGTAAGGGCTTGGAAAGACTTATAGCGCGAAGTGGCCATCACAGCCATTAATCGAGACGTCATCCAGCCACAACAGTTTGGGGCCGTTTCCAAGGGTGCTGCTGTGGATTTGGTGCTCTCTCTTATTCACGACATTGAGTGGAACATTGCTAGGGAACAAGGAGTGTCCTCATTGCTCACCATGGACGTCTCTGGCGCCTTCAACACTGTACTCCGCAACAGACTAGTGCGACGACTTCTGGAACAGGGATGGCACCCAGGCTTTGCGCGCTGGGTGACCTGTTTCATGGAAAACAGGTCTGCCTCAGTCAGATTCGAAACTACAATGGCAGAACCTCGGCCTCTCGAAGCGGGCCTCCCTCAGGGCTCACTCATCTCTCCCATCTTGTTCATGCTCTTCCTTGCCCCTCTTCTTCAAGGCAGGCGCAAGGAGCTCAAGTTTGGGTACGCTGACGATTTAGGCTTGGCTGCGCACAGTGACAGTGTCAGGCACAACATTCACCTTCTAACATCTCTGGTTGGTGAGGCCACTGACTGGGGACGCGAGAATGCCATCTCATTCGACC